CCCCCCCCCCCCCCCGCTTCCAGCCTGCCAATGAAGTCAGAGGACATTGATCACGTGCAGAAGCCAACCCTTTTTTCCTGGGGTGGGGAAGGACAATACAGGTCCCAGAGTCCAGCGGCTTTGCACTGCCAGAAAAGCACCCTGGTGCCTGTAGTCCTACTTCCCTGCAGAACTACATCTCCCAGAATGCAAAGTTACACCCAGGGGCGTCGCTTCTCAATGTATGGTGGGTATTGTAGTTTACACGGGCCAGGTGCTCCCGTAAAGCCCGGTTGTGTGCTTCTATTGCAAGGGTAAACAGCAACGTGGTCCACAAGTCCAGGGATGTCCCAGATGTAACTTGCCCCTTCACTCAGGCTGGCAGGAAGCTGTGAGCCTTCCTGAGGCTGAAAGAAACCAGAGCGCCCCAAGGGATGATGAGGTCGAAGTGTCATAAACTACTACAAGACTGTTTCAGGCTGGACATAAGGAAAAATTTCTTTACTGTCCGAGCCCCTAAGGTCTGGAACAGCCTGCCTTTGGAGGTGGTTCGAGCACCTACATTGAACACCTTCAAGAGCAAATTGGATGCTTATCTTGCTGGGATCCTATGACCCCAGCTGACTTCCTGCCCTTTGGGTGGCAGGCTGGACTCAATGATCTTCCGAGGTCCCTTCCAGCCCTAATGTCTATGAAATCTATGAAATCAGACTTCATGGTAGAAGTGATATCTTTTGTTAGACCAACTAGATTTTTTTGCAAAAAACAATTCTTTAATTGCAAGCTTTTGGGCACAAGCATCTTCAGGCATAGGAGAAAAGATTGTAAACGTTCTCTTGGGTTGTAATGAAAGTTCATATTTCATAGGAGAGTTGAAGGTGTGGTAAAATCTCCTGTTTAGAACAGTTCATTTTATATGCAGATTAGGCTCAGAGAAAAGTTGGAATGGTCTGTTTACTTCAAAGTTGTTTGGTGGTAAGCAGGATGTAGTCATATTTCCTTTTGGTTATGGTGTTTTCTGAGGCTAATGCACCCAGCCCCACAGACTTGCAAAACATCACTGAGTCACGTAGCAGCCCATGCACATGGGACCAGGGAGGGGTTCTGGCCTAAAATAACTTATTGGAATGTCAGGGAAACCTGCTGAAATTGTTGCCTGAGCAAAGTAGGGCTTTGCATAACAACACCTTTTTTCTCTTTGTCTGTGATATGGCAACTTTTGAGTGCTGCATCAAATCTATGCCACAATTTAAGGTCTGTTCTAGGCAGCATCCTCTCAACTGGGTGGAAATCAGAAATGCAGAAGAGAGAAAATGGGGGGATATCAGGTGCTCTGAGCATCTAGTAAATAAAGCTAGGTGCTTCAACCAGCTTCATAACAGTGTAGAGATCAAATATCCAGTTGATAGTAGTCTTTAACACATTTTGGCATAAAAATATCCCCCTATTCTCCCAGCAGATTTAATCCACAAGCCTAACACACAATTGCTGACAGGGATGAACAGTGGGAGAACCTGGTCTAGAGGTGAATGAAAATGTTATGACAGTGAGGTAAGAGAGAACATGTAATGGAGAGGCTGGGAATGGGGACTACACAGAATCCCTGCCATCCCTGCCATGGTGGTAGATAAGCAGAGACTGAATGGAGTACGCAGTCCCCCTGAGATGGTGTGAGAAGGTGGGAACATGGTATGGGTGAAGGGGACAGGGAAGATGCACAGATTTCTGGCATGTGGCAGAATGGGAACTGGAGTGTACACAGAGCCACTAGGCAAGACAGGAGAGTTGCAAGGAGTTCTTGAACAAGGAGGCAATATAGGAGGGCACACAGGGAGCCTGTGAGGAAGGGCGGGGATATGCAAGAATGCAAAAAGCTGATGGTCTCTACAGTAAGGTCACCCTCCCGAACAGTGAGGCTGTCCAGTGAAGAGTAAATTTTGCTCCCGTCCCCAAGGCTGAGGGCACAAACAGGCTTTAGGACTGGGTTTGTGCCACTCTTTAAAAAAGGCAAAATGACCTAGGGAACTATGGACCAGTTCACATCACCTCAATACCTAGAAAGTTACTGGAGCGTATCATAAGGTAGGCCATTTGCAAGCATCTGGAGGAGGAAAGGCTGATCACAAGCAGCCAGCATGGATTTACTAAGAACAAATCATGTCAAACAAACTTGATCTCCTTCTTTGACAAAGTAAGTACCTGAATGGATGAAGGGAATGCTGTGGATATTGTATATTGGACTACAGAAAGGCTTTTGACAAGGTCCTGCATGACGTTCTCATAAGCAAATTGGAGGAATGTGGGCTGGATAAAACTACTATAAAGTAGATAAACAACTGGCTCAATAGCTGCAAGTAAAGGGTGCTTATTAACCAGTCCATGTCAGAACAGCAGGAGGTTTTGTATGCGGGTCAACAGGGGTCTGTCCTGGGCCCACTACTGTTCAATGTGTTTATTAATTATTTGGATGCTGGCATAGAAAGCTTTTTAAGCAAAGCTGCAGATAATATAAAACCAGGAAGGACTGTGAACACATGGGAGGATGTGAATGGAATTCACAAGGCTCTTCACAGATTGGAAAGATGGGTTGAAGCTAACAGGATGAAGTTCAGTGAGGACAAATACATGGTGCTACACCTCAGGAAGAATAATAAAAAATACAGATACAAAATGGGTGATACCAAGCTGGATGGCAGCACTATGGGGAAGGATCTAGGAGTCTTGGTAGATCACAGATTCAGTATAAATCTGCAGTGTGCTGCAGCTGTTCTAAAAGAAGATACGGTTTTGGGATGTATCTATAAAAGCATTAGGCGCAAAATGCAGGTGATAGTGCCTCTACTTGGCATTGGTTAGGCCTCATCTAGAGTATTGTGCACAGTTTGGGGTCCACATTTTAAAAAGGACATGGAGAAGTTGGAGAGGGTCCAGAGGTAGGCAATAAAGATAATAAAGGGCTTAGAAAGTAAGTTGTATGAAGAGAGGCTGAAGGAGCTAAGCGTGTTCAGTTTGCAGAAAAGGCACTCAAGAGAGGACATGATAGCAGTCTTCAAATATCTGAAAGGCTGCCATAAAGAAGAGGGAAAACACATTTTCTGTCTTGCTGCAGAAAATAGGATGCAGACCAATGGCTTCAGGTTGCAGCAAAGTAGACTTAGATTGGATATCAGGAAGCCTGAGGAGGGAGGACTACACCCTGCGCTGCTTCACTGTGCCGCAGCTGGACCTGGGCCAGACTGCAAAGTGTGCAGACTCCCGTGGCAGGTTAGGGTATTATGTTTTGCATTGTGTCAGCATTGATGGTAACTTTACAATTAGTTTAGATTATGGACTGGGATGGTTTAGACAGGGGTGATCCTACCTCAGGCAGGTGGCTGGACGAGATGGAGGTCCCTTCCAGCCCTACTTCTCTGTTTCTATGATCACTTTGCCCATCTAATATCAAGGCTCATTTTTAAGTCTATGTATATCCATGATAAAAAACAGGATAATACTTGATGTTCAAGGGACCATTTTGCACCACAATCTAAGGGCAAGCTGGCTGTGACCTATGCTATCCACACCAGAGGGCTCCCACCACCCATAGACTTCCTCCTGTACTTCATGGATGCCAGGAATTCAAACCTGTTGTTATTCCAGCCAGCCAGCAGGTGTCACTATTGTACCATGAATATGCATAGCCAACCTCTGACATACTAATAAAGTTACAGAAATCAGAGCCCATGGAATTCAAGAAATTAGCACAATGTTCTGACTAACATAGAAAATACCCACCTGTATCCATTTTTTGGACTGAGGTCTTTGAGTCCCTCATGGAGGCAGATACAATTCCTATTTAAGTTACCAAGTTTGGAGGCACGTAATTGCTGCCTATAAACCACGACAGTAACCGAGAATGTGATGGGCAGCAATGACTCTCTGCTGAGGTTGCTAAAGGCTGAAGTAAGCTAGAACCTTGCATGTTCAGAGCTGGGAGACTGATGCTGGAGCCAGTTTCTAGGATCGGGATGACTTTAATAGCATGACTAATTCTGCATGGCTAATGTTGACTTCAGCTGCTTTTGCCACAGATGGGGAAATACTGTCTCCTGCGGAGTGACTCCATCTGAAGAAGCTCCCATAATTTACATATGTGCTCCTGTAAAGCTGGTTAAAGGACTGTATTTTTATATGCCAGGCAAACAGGCTGAAACTTCATTTTGAAAACACTGTGGGAGGAACCTTTGGCACCAGGCCTAACAGATACCACACACCTCTGACATGCTCTGCCCTGTGACTGATGATCCCTCATCCATCTACTGCTAGACAACTGTCAGGATTCACCTGTGCACTAGCTCCTATTGGTCTAATTCTCCCCTTATAGGTTAGAGTAACCCCCCTTAACTCCAGTAGGTGCTCTTTGTTTCCTTTGCCATGGCAATTGGGCCTTAATCCTCCTTCCCTATGTGCCTAACTGGCTTCTAGTCTACAACACCCCATCCAAACTGCCTTGAAAAGGCTTCAGTTCCCCTTACCTCCACCACCTCATGCAGACAACAGACCCTTCACTTCCTGCTTCACCCTCCACCACAGGGCCACCAGGCCACTCTCATTTTTTCCTGCTTTACTCCCAGTACCATGCAGCAGTTAAACCCAGGTTTTTTTCCTTTCAGGGCTAGCTTGAGGCATATACAACACAGGCAGCTGCTCAAGCTCCTGCTCTTTGTGTTCCCATGTAAAGTTTGCAGCACAAGGTATTATCCTATGGCAGAAGCACGCAGACAAGTAACACACATACTATTTCTATTAGCCCCTCTCCCCACCCTCCATTGGACCGGTGGCATCTGCAACACAGCTAGCAGCCGTCATATTTGCAGTCCAATTTCTTACACACAAGCTCTTATGGTGGGAGTCCCCACCAAACTGCTTTTCACATTCTTGCTTTCCTCTCCTGCATAGCCCAACATCTCTGATACAACTCAGTCTGTTATCTTTTTGATCTAAAGATGGGCAAGTGAAAGGGAAAGAAAACACAGTAAATTATATTTCATATGGGAAAGGCACAGCTCAGACCTTCACTTATCTGCTGATTAGCAGAGAGAAAAGACTTGATTGTTGTTACTGCTACTGGAACAACTGGAAAGCTATAAAAAGAAGACTGACTGTAGTTAGCCAACTAGGCTTTGCAGGGGCTAAATGTCTAATTGTTTATTCCCTGTCTACAGGATTGTCTCCAAAGAGCAGGTCTTTCCCTATAGGTTACTAAAGTGACCAACAGGGGAGGATTTTCCCTATGAGGAGGCACTTGGTCTTGACATCTCTCCAACACTAAGAGTTCAGTGGTGATCATTAAAGTGAGGCTTTGCCTGGATCTGGAATTCACTTTGGCCCTGTTGTTGAGATCATGACCAACATGAAATTTAGACCCAAGGACTCATTTGGGTCCATCACTTCAGCTGCTGTCTGAGCTGTGCCTGATTGCTATATAGAGCACTGATAAGGTGGTTCCTCAATTTTGCTGAGACATTGAAGCACAGCTTATATCAGACTAGGCTGTATGCTTTGTAGAACAGAGTGGATTAGTCACCTGGAGTCCCTTGGGTATGAGATTCATTTGCTTCCATCTGGTCAGGAAGAAGTTACCTGAACATACCTGAGCAAGTTTCTTGTGTAGATTTATTGTAGTCCATTTCATTTGGCTGAGTGTGGTGCCCTCCATGAGCAGAAACACATACATACCCATGTTAAGTCAAGCAGAAGGCAAGGTAAATTTGCAACTTATAAACTAACAAAAGTGTGTGTGTGTGTGTGTGTGTGTGTGTGTGTGTGTGTGTGTGTGTGTGTGTGTGTGTGTGTGTGTGTGTGTGTGCGCTACAAATTTTTGTGAGCTGAGGCTCACAAGTACTGAAGTGTAGCAGAGTACCTGCATAGTGTTACCATTAGGTAATATCTGTGTGATGATGTGAAAAAATCCTCAGTGAGACTATGAGATTTCCTGCTTTAGGGATGAGATTCTGACAGGTGCAAAGTACTCTTACTTCCCTGGAACAGCTCAGGAATGATCCTTTAGTAAAGTGGTATTTTGAGACAGAGGGAAAAAAAATCACAACCAAAACAGATTTAGAGATTCATATATAATTTATTAAGTTCTGAAAGAGCCAAAATCAGGACTCTTAGTATGTTTGTATAGCTCTTAGCACAGTGGGGATCTGACTCCTGCTTGGGATCAAAATCCTCAAAGCATCACCAGCAATAAGAGATGGTTTTAGGCCAAACCCCATGTTCAAAGCTCAGCCAGTCTCTAGAGATACTTGAATCTTAGCCTGGCTCCCTCTACCTGGTTCTTGTTCCAAAATGGTCCACCAAAATCCATGGATTTTCACATCCCTAAAGTTGAGGAAATTTGGATCCCACATCAGATTCTGCAGCTGGGATCTGTCTGTGGAATAAGGCAAATGCTACAGGAGATAAACCACCCCCAGCAGTGAAGCAGTCCAAGCCAGGCCTCCTCCCACCTGTTGTTTATGGGAACTGGATGTGGCACCTGCTGTGGGTGAAGTTCAGCCATTGCTAGAGGTGCTTAGGAGAATTTCATGTCACAGACCCCACTCAGAAGAGAGAGACAGATAGAAATGTAGCACAGATCCACAAGCAGAGGAACCAGGGACTCCATTCAATTCAGACTTACTACATGAAAAAAGTCTGGTTATGATGATAAAGAAAAAGCTTTCTGCAGTCAGATTCACAAAGCAAGATTTCTCTTGTGGTAGCGCAAATCACTGGGCTGGTCACTAATCCAAAGATGGGTAAATCTAACATGACAGTTCACCTCCCTATAGCCTCCATTCAAGGTAACCATTTGGAGAATTTCAAATCCCATCGGTTCTGCACAGTGTAAACCTGCCAATTAATATAGAACCCATAGTTATGAGAAGCACCACTCACTGAAAGGCTCAAAGTGCTGGGATCTTCGCACCAGACTGCCTGTCAAGAAGCATGAATCCCTGCACACTTATATCAAGATGCATACCAGGCACTTGGCTACAAACTCCATCAGCTGTAGCTCATTAAGATCCCAGCTGGAGTCTGGCAGGAGTAGACCAGATCCTACAGCTAAAACTTTTGGATGGTTATGGAAGCAAATGGCTCAAAGGCCCAGAGGCTGAACCTGCAAGAGAATCGTGGAGTGTATGGCACTTATTGCCAAGCCCAGAAGCTTCTCACAAATCTGGAAATGGAGTAGACACCATTAAACCTGCCCTAGAGATATCAGAGTACCTTCTACAGTCATATTCATAGTTACCTTCTCCCTAACATCAAAGAATTGCACCAAAGGGAGAACCAACTCGCTGGAGAATGAGAGCTCCTCCTTTATTCACACACAGGAAATCTGAAATTTGCTCAACAGGCCCAAAAGGACCTAGACTGAGCCCAACCACAAACATATCACCCATTCTCATATATTTTCCTCACTATTACATTAGTCCCACAGCCACTATTTTTAATCTGAAACTATGTCACACCCTACTACAGTGCTACATTGCAGTGTAGTTTTCATTAATATTATGTCATTATGGCTTTCTTAAACCTCTGAACCTGCACCGAGTAAGACTTGTTTAGGGTTCAAGAGCAGCTGTGGGTAGTGGAGGAAGAACATGAAGATACATGAGCCACGGATGATGAAATGGGGGTCACTGTGCTTGAGAAGGAACTGATGATGAGTGACACACAGATGTGTTACCTGCCTACTTCCCCATTTTCCATGCTTTGCACTGGTGGGCCATGCAGTCTAGTGATCTAAAATTACCCATATATTTTGAATGAGTATGTCCAGAGGCATTTTTAGGCTGGATGAATTTTTGAGAATTTAAAATTGCATTCATTGTGTACCTGTGACATAGATGAACCACTTTTGTTATATGTGTAGCATTTTGACTAAGATCAATGGAAATAAAATACAATGGCTAGGCAACTCAGGACATCTAACACACATTTTAACATGAGCAAATTAGTCTGAATGATAAATCAAAAAATTCCAGGCCTACCAAGTCTCATGCATTAAGGAGAGAGGCCTTTGGAACATTTAGGAACAGTTGTAAAGTCTTTGCAACAGACCCTTAGCTGGTGTAAATCAGTGCAGTTCCATCAAAGTCAGAGATGTCTCAATTTCTAACAGTAGAAGAACTGCCCCTTCATGTATCACACTAAAAAAATTCACTGAGTCTGCTGAAGTGACATCTTAAGGGGAATTTTTTGAAGTCTCCTTCATTCAGAATTGTCAGGTCTGCAGTTATTCTGGCCAAATGCTTTCTATTTCTCCTGTATTTACTGTTTTTTTAAGAGTTTCTATTTGTTTGGTAACTGTGCTGTTGCTGCTTTCCCTTTCTTCTGCTGAGTCGGTAACTGAAGGACACTGCAATGGTATTAGATATCAACAGCCAGAGTCTAGTTCTCTGCTAGGCTGGAGATCCAATTATTATGAACTCAGGATCTGAAACCGAGCAGACTCAGGGGCAGATCCTACCTTGGGATCGAACAGCACAGACCCATGTTGAATCCCACTGAAATCAATGGGATTAAAACACATGGGTGCAGGGGCATCTGCTACTGGATCCCAATTCAAAGTTAGAGTTTTTTATTTAATCTGGATACAAGAAGTTCCTCTTGAAGTCAGAGGCCACTTCTCCAGGTGAAGAAGCCTTTTGGAGTCTGTACCAAGGTGAATAGAGAAAGAAGCTGCACCTTCTTCCAGAAACCATTTTAGCCATGAAAGTGCTTGTACAGCTCTATCAGCTTGCTTCTAGCCTTCATAGTTCCTGAAATACCAAGCCCTAGAACAAGTCCTGACTCTTCAGTCTAACCATGCTACTCTTGACAGCAGCCCTAAGGTTGCACATAACACAAGTGAGTTATTTTCATTCCTTGCTTTCCTGAAGGTCAAGGTTAGTGGCCCAAATGGCAGGATGTTTGTCTGAGCAACTTCCCGAGGAGACACCTATGTTGGAATGATAAGGTGAAATGCCGAGATACTTGTAGAGTCAGAACTCCAACAGACTGCCATTTCAAAGGGGGTTCCCTGAGTGAAGACTTCAGGATTTGGCCCATCATGGTTTGAACAGCATTTTGATCATTTCCTGCAGGTTTAAATTTGTGTTTTGTAGGCTTATTGTTGTCCTTCATCTGAGACTTTTATAGAGGGGTTTGTGCTGTTTATAATTCCAATTGGTCAAAACCACCCAGCTCCTAGTGAAGGCTGGAGGTCCACCTACTCATACAATGTGGAAAAAGAATGCTCTTGGTGCTAGCAGTGGCCATTGTTCACTCCAGCTTGCTACATTCTCTTTGACATGGGTCTTTTCCCTCTTAGAGCTCTCTTGGGAAAACACCAGAGAAATCAGCTATAAACTGGTTCCATTTTTTCTGCCAGACGTCTTCAGCTTTAGCTTTCTCCTCTGGCTGCATGGAGCTGTATCTGCAGGGGGAAAAGGAACCAGGATCAGACTGGGACAGAAGGGGAGGGACAGCATACTTCAGGATCAGTGACCAAAATGAAGAAAAAGAGAGAGAGAGATAGAGATGGAGGCTTACTCTTGCCTCGGCTGCAAGTTTAGAAGCATCCCCTGGACTTATTCCTATATGGCAGAAAATAGAAGGTCCCTCACAACTCTATTGGAACACTAGGGTTGATATGGGTATTGATACCAGATCTGGCAAAGGATTCAGGTATATGCAAGAAGGGAGAATAGACACACAGGGAAAACAGACAAAGAGATGTTCTATTAACCAAGCACAGAGTAGACAGTAGGATCCCCAAAGTCCTGAGCTATGGGGCATTTAAAAAGAGAATTTTGAGTCTACATGTGTGCCCAACTGCACAGTTGTTACTGCATAGTCATTTAGTACTTACTTTAGAAAGTACTAAATGACTGTACAGTAACCACTGATATTGTGCAGTCCCAATGCCGCACAGGTCATTTCCAATCCTGCTGCACAGCAGTTCGCTGCTATTGCGCAGCAGCAGCATCACAGTTCATGCCTGCTGACACTATGTCGCTGTAGCAATGAGCTACATAGCATCTCATGTAGATGCACCAGCAGAGTGCTAGCCCATCTGCAAAGGGGCTTAGGTGCAGAAAGTAAAACAGGTGGGCATACTGGGCAGCCAGGCATCTCTCTTGGTATAACCCAGAGTGTGAGAGCAGCAACTCACTTTAGAGAGTTCAATGCCAATTGTTTCAAGGTCCTCAGATCAGCATTCATCCCTCCAATGCCCATGAACACTTCATAGAAGTCATACGACACTCCCTTTGCTCCAAAGACAGATGGGTCATCTGGACTGACCACTATGGGGTGTCCATCAGCAATCAGCTCAGCAGCAGGATGGTTCCTGAGATCAGATACTAACTTCAGGACCTTGGTGGTGGGGAAGAAGCCAGGATGAGTTATTCAATTCTATATATTTCTACTGTAAATGTATACATTCATGGTAACCTCTTCAGCGACTGTGTTTTTATTATGCATTTGCCAGCACAATGTAGTGTGCAACATGGTTTCTTCCCCCACAGGTACACTGTTGTCTCGGTTTTCCCGCCTTCTGTGCCCCCAGGGACTTGTGTATCACATTTAGTTCTATTTCAAACTAAAGCCTTTCTTTCTTTTGAATCTAGTTTATTAACTATTATGAAACAAAAGGTACATGTCCTCCACCCTTATTATCCAGGCTTCCTCAGGACATTCTTGCTTGTCCCCCTCCAGGCTTTATAGGCACTTGTATCAGGTCTCTGCCCTTCCTAAGCCCCTCACTAAATCTAGTCCCAAGCTTCTGACCTTTGTTTTGGAGAGCTGTCTCCCCTTAGACAAGAGCCCTATACTAGATTGAATCCTGCTCCCATTCCAGTGTAGTCCTTCCCTCTC